CGGACAGGTAGACAGGTCGGTGGACAGGTGGGCGGACAGGTGGGCGGACAGGTAGACAGACAGGTGGGCGGACAGGTGGACAGGTGGACAGACAGGTGGGCGGACAGGTGGACAGACAGGTGGGCGGACAGGTGGACAGGTAGACAGACAGGTGGGCGGACAGGTGGATGGACAGGTGGACAGGTGGGTGGACAGGTGGGTGGACAGGTAGACAGACAGGTGGGTGGACAGGTGGGCGGACAGGTGTACCGTGGGGCGGGGATCAGTGCCTGGACGGCCATCAGCAGCAGCAGCAGGATGAAAGAACAAACCATGTTGGACTTGAAGAGTTCGTCTCTCATTTGGGAGTACTGAGAGACAAAGAGAGGACGATGAGTCACCAAACTGCTCGCTAAGCATCAAAAACAGCCCCGCCCCCTGCAGGAAGTGAGGTCATTACCTTTCCCTCCATGTGGGAGTCCTTGAACACCTGAGTGAATGTGGTGATGTGCTCCTTCCTCATTCGCTCGCTGCTCCGGACCTTCATGGCCTGACAGATCCTCTTGTTGACCTCCCGTGATCCCGACTGTTGCGCTGCAACCTGATTGGGCAGCTGTGTTAAAGAGCCATTCGTGAAGGTGGCGAGGATCTACGGGACACCACAGGGGACAAGAAAAGGTCAAATTCATTCCTTATTCCACCAGAAAGCTCCTACTTTTCTTTCACATGTCCTCACAAAGTTCATTCCCAGGATGTCTCCGAACGGCAGCTCGGCGCTCCAGGTCGTCATCTCGTCGTAACTCGGACGTCTCGCTCTCGGTGGCTCCACCTCGTCTTGTGGCGCCGGGCGGATCAGGTACGTGTCGATGTTGTGTTTCCGTAGAAACTCGTTACGTTCCTGGCCGTGCCCCGCCTCCGTCTCGTAGATCCCGTCCAGGCAGTCCAGAGTGGCCCGCGAGATATGAATGCGCCTGAGACGAGGAGACGAAGGTATGACCGAAGACGTCCTCAGTGTCGAGAAGCTGTTAGACTTGTTTAAACATTGGAATTAGGCGCCAAATGTTTGTTGGATGTGTCCTGATAATAACAAACTGTAAACTAACATCTGTCAAACATCACAGTTTTAAGCTGAGACTGATTTTCTTTTATCCAATAAATGAACCTTTTAAAGTGAAGTCAAAACACTTTTCTATTAGGGATTTTGTTAAATTAATTTTATAAAAGAGAAGAAAATTTCAGGAAAACAATTTAAATAAATGGAGTAAATGTTTGAAAACTGAAGATTTTAAATCAAGATATTTGCAAACTGAGGATATTTTTGTAAACTGCAGACAATTTTATCAAGTAACTTGTAAAGTTGAAGACTTTTGTAAACATATTTTTGGAAATTATGTGACTTTTGTCAAGTGAAGACAACTGTTTTAAGACCTCTCTGAGGACATTTTGGTAAAGACAGGACATTCTTCCTCTGTGTCCTCACCTCATCATGACCCAGAGGTCAGCTGATGGACTAGCGTTTGCATTATATCAGTAAAAACGTGTGTGTTTCTGACCCCGGCACTCCTGCAGCCTCCAGACTGTTGGCGATGTCGACGTCCCAGCTCCAGATGTCAAACTGCCACTTCTGAACTCCCAGAACTCCACAAAGAACCGAACCGGAGTGGACGCCGATCCTCATGTCCACCTCCTGCTGCAGCTCCCGACGAACATAACTGCAGCAGTGAAACACGTTAGCGTCACGGTGAAGCTTCACGTGATGCAGATGTGTGTGCCTGTGTGTGTTTTTACCGTATGGTGTTGATCATACTGAGGCCCATCTCCACGCAGCAGCGGGCGTGTCCTCCCTGAGGCTCTGGGACTCCAGATACACAATAATAACAGTCACCCAGGATCTTGATACGCAGACACTGATGCTCCTACACACACAAACACACACTGGCATTATTAACAAACATTAACTGAGTGACAGGTGTGTATCTCACGTTTACTTTACTGTTTATAACAATATTAAACTTTATTTATAAGGCACCTTTCATACACACAATGCAGCTCAAAGTGTTTCACAAATAAAAAAATAAAACAGTTAAAAAGTGGAAGGAAAATAAATACATTAACTTACAAATGAAAATAATTTAATTAGCTTTGTTTAGTTTTTTATGTTCTATTAATGTTTGTTAATACAAATAAAAAGAAACTCATGAAAATAAAATGTCAGAAAAACAACAAGACGCTTAAATTTAACGCATCAAATAAAACTTTAAGGAATTTAAAATTTAAAAAAAATTTAAAACAACAACAAAACTAAACCTTGGAAGCTCAAATGGTAAAAAAATGTACAAATCAAACATGTAAATAATGATCAAAGTAATTCAGTGACGTATGTGGTTGTCATGGTGATATGACCTCAGCCAGCCTGTCGAAGCGACCAAAGAGTTCGTTGAGAGTTTTAACGAGTTCCTGAGCAGAAAGGATCATCGACAGAGAAGTGAAGCCGATGATGTCTGCAAACAGGATGCTGCAAAGAGACGGAGAGAAATTTGAAATGTGTGATTAAAATCTAGATTCACAAAATCAGTATTTGATTTTAAAGTCAGAATTTTGATAAAATAGTGTAAAATATTTGCGATTAAAGTCAAAATATAATTAAAAAGTCAAAATTCAGAGAAAATTGTGAGAAGAAAATGAAAATAATGTAATTAAAATCAGGAGTTTAACATTCCTAAATGTTCCTAAATCCCATCGTTTATCATACATACGTACATTTACACAGGACTTCTGTGAATAACTTACAGCAGGTATGTCTCTCTGTGTCTGATGGTCGGTTTGTCTTTCTAGTTAAGTTAGCTAAGTTAACTAGTTGTAGTTAGCCAGCTGTAGTTAGCTAGCATAGTTATTGCAGAAAGTTAGCTAACAGAGGGTCTTCATTTTATTTTTTAGTTTCCTCCTCTTGGTTTAGAGTGCTGTTCATTTTCATTATGGCATCTGTGCGTGTTGGAGGACAGATGACAGAAAACGTGTCATATATACAGTCTGCAACATTAATTTTTTGGTTATATATAAAGAAATATGACTCAGCCAACGCTTGAGGTGTGACTTTTGTTGTTCTCAACATTGCAAGAAAGTGTTTTTTTTTTTGTCCCTGTACTCAGTTAAAAGAACGGTCTGTGTGTATTTTCATATGGAGCCAGTAAATGTTATTTAAAACATTGTTTATTAATAAAATCTGGAGAATTGTAGCTTTGGTTTGCTCTTGAGTTTTTTTTTTACCCGTTTGGTGCATCCACACGTTTTAAAAAGTTCCAATCTTTCTTCATCAATTTATACATATACAGTAGAACTACATCAATAGTTTTATGTAAGAGATGTTTAACCAGTAATGCACTCTGCATCTGTGCACTATATATATGACTGCAACAGCATAACGTGTTAATTTTAATGTCAGCCAAATGAGGCTGTCTGTAAATACCCTGTTCTTCAGGACACAACACGTAAAGGTGAGGACTTCATAACGTGGCCCAGCAGACAGCCTGTGAGCTGTGTGGTATGCTTGGTAATATAGGGACACAACATCTACAGCTAAAGCTGATGAAAATATCATTATTGTCAGTGTGATATAAGCAGTTTGATGTACATACAGTGTTGTGTTTCTTACAGCCTACATAAACAGAAATAACTCGTTAGTTTCAATCTCTACAAAGTTCATAACAAGTCAACTTTACATGCAGAAGATCAAGTAACAGAGTAATAGACCCTCCCTCCCCCCGCGGTAAAGTAAGCGCACCATAAAACGTAGTGGGAGTTCTGTGCGTGACAGAACCATCGACTGTGTGATTGATAACAGCTGATACTCGCACATCAGTTTCTATCCTGGGTAAGTAATAGCTACTCCTGCCAGACAGTAAAGTGTACTAAACTTTAACACAGCATATCGTTAGTGAAAACACTCTCGCTGTCAGTTTTTGGTTGTCATGGTAATTGATTACGTCCGACTATTAACCACACCCCCATTCTCTGTTTGAGAAAGAACGTTAGGAGGGCGGCTTTAACTGGCCTTAACCTAGAACAACAAATCTGTGTGATGTTTAGACTGCAGTGCTAACAGCCTAATATTGGAATCTATTACCATCCATGAGTTGTCCTCTAATCTGTGGAGTTCCTGTAAACATTCTTGTTGGATTCAACCTTGCCAGACTCCCAGAGAACACAGATATCTGCTCGCCTGACGCCTGAGCTGCTCTCTCTACCTTATCAGTCTAACAAGGACAGTTACATGAGGGAAATAACCAGAGCTGTAAGGTCAGTAAACACTTGTAGGGTCAGATAGTGACTCCAAGCTACACCTTCCCCTGTTACATCAATTTAACCCCCTATGAAATATCTCTAATATTAAATATATATGAATGCTAATATTTGTTCTTCTACTATAGCAACATTTTGAATGCAGTTAAACACAGTATTTCTACACTGTGGTATTACTACTAAATAGTACTTCTTCCATCAGCTGCTAGCTCAGAAAAGAGCCGCCTAAATAAACTTAAAGCTGCATTAAAAGGTTTGTGTCACTAAGGGGGAAGACAAACAGTCTGTAAACAACACTGACGTATTATCATTATATAAAGTAGTTGTGGCTAACATGTTAGCAAACAGCTGCCTATTTCCACGTCTGATAGACACGGAGCAACACAATCCTTTCATTAATAAATTACTTGTGGGGTTCCTCAGGGTTCTGTTCTCGGTCCTGTATAGTTTTCATTAATTCAGCAGCTGGTCTCAACCTGTGCTGTCTGCTGGGTTTACCTGACGTCTTTGTAGTGGTGGATGTAGATCTTATGGAACTGCTGAGGCAGCAGATACTCGTCCATGGTGGCCATGTCAGAGATCATCTCCAGAACCAGAAAACGAGGCAGGATTGACATCACCAGACGCTCCTGGAGGACACAAAGTGCGTGATGAACAGGACAACAAACGTTTAGAAGATCCAAGAATCAAACAGCTACCTGTCTGTTGTTCTCTCTCTCCAGTCTGACTCGCCCCTCTATGCAGCGTCTGGTCTCCAGGAAGGCCTGTCTCTGAGTCCGGTCCGACAGGTAGTGAATGAACAGACCGGCGATGTTCATGGCCAGGTACAACAAGGCCTTCGACAACACCTGGACAGGTAAGAAACACACACATCAGATCTGTGACAGGGTTAGCTGAAAGGAAAGGAAAGAAGGAACAAACGTAGGAAAGGAGGATGGATGGTAGACAGACTGGAAGAGAACCTTTCTGATGAAGGTGCGGTCGCCGTAATGACAGCAGAAGTCCAGCAGCAGGTGCAGGGTGGAGGTGGTCGCTCCTGCGATGATGGACCAGAGGAGGGGGAGGAACAGCAGAGTGTAGGTGGAGAACAGGGAGAAGAAGACGTACCAGGAGTGATCGCTCTCCGCCCAGCTGAACACGCCCACCAACACCTGCAGCATCTGGGAGAGCCAGCTCACCACAGACAGGTACCTGAGACACAGACAGACAGGTACCTGAGACACACAGACAGACAGGTACCTGGGACACAGACAGACAGGTACCTGAGACACAGACAGAGACAGACAGGTACCTGAGACACACAGACAGACAGGTACCTGAGACACAGACAGACAGGTACCTGGGACACAGACAGACAGGTACCTGAGACACAGACAGAGACAGACAGGTACCTGCGACACAGACAGACAGGTACCTGCGACACAGACAGACAGGTACCTGCGACACACAGACAGACAGGTACCTGGGACACACAGACAGACAGGTACCTGAGACACAGACAGAGACAGACAGGTACCTGCGACACACAGACAGACAGGTACCCGAGACACACAGACAGACAGGTACCTGACACAGACAGAGACAGACAGGTACCTGAGACACAGAGAGAGACAGACAGGTACCTGAGACACACAGACAGACAGGTACCTGAGACATAGAGAGAGACAGAAAGGAACCTGAGACACAGAGAGAAACAGACAGGAACCTGAGACACAGAGAGACACAGACAGGTACCTGAGACACAGAGAGAGACAGACAGGTACCTGAGACACACAGACAGACACACAGACAGACAGGTACCTGAGACACAGAGAGAGACAGACAGGTACCTGAGACACACAGACAGACACACAGACAGACAGGTACCTGAGACACAGAGAGAGACAGACAGGAACCTGAGACACAGAGAGAAACAGACAGGAACCTGAGTCACAGAGAGAAACAGACAGGTACCTGAGACACAGAGAGAGAGAGACAGGTACCTGAGACACAGAGAGAGACAGGTACCTGAGACACAAACAGACAGGTACCTGAGACACACAGACAGACAGGTACCCAAGACACAGAGAGAGACAGACAGGTACCTGAGACACAAAAAGAGACAGACAGGTACCTGAGACACAAAAAGAGACAGACAGGTACCTGAGACACAAAAGAGACAGGTACCTGTGAGACACAGACAGAGACAGACAGGTACCTGAGACACAGACAGAGACAGACAGGTACCTGCGACACACAGACACACAGGTACCTGCGACACACAGACAGACAGGTACCTGCGACACACAGACAGACAGGTACCTGAGACACACAGACAGACAGGTACCCGAGACACACAGACAGACAGGTACCTGACACAGACAGAGACAGACAGGTACCTGCGACACACAGACAGACAGGTACCTGAGACACAGACAGACAGGTACCTGAGACACAAACAGAGACAGACAGGTACCTGAGACACACAGACAGACAGGTACCTGAGACACACAGACAGACAGGTACCTGGGACACAGACAGAAAGGTACCTGGGACACACAGACAGAAAGGTACCTGGGACACACAGACAGACAGGTACCTGAGACACACAGACAGAGACAGACAGGTACCTGAGACACACAGACAGACAGGTACCTGAGACACAGACAGGTACCTGAGACACAGAGAGAGACAGACAGGTACCTGAGACACAGAGACAGACAGGTACCTGAGACACAAAAAGAGACAGACAGGTACCTGAGACACAAAAAGAGACAGGTACCTGTGAGACACAGACAGAGACAGACAGGTACCTGAGACACAGACAGAGACAGACAGGTACCTGCGACACACAGACACACAGGTACCTGCGACACACAGACAGACAGGTACCTGCGACACAAAAAGAGACAGACAGGTACCTGAGACACAAAAAGAGACAGACAGGTACCTGAGACACAAAAAGAGACAGGTACCTGTGAGACACAGACAGAGACAGACAGGTACCTGAGACACAGACAGAGACAGACAGGTACCTGAGACACAAAAAGAGACAGACAGGTACCTGAGACACAAAAAGAGACAGACAGGTACCTGAGACACAAAAGAGACAGGTACCTGTGAGACACAGACAGAGACAGACAGGTACCTGAGACACAGACAGAGACAGACAGGTACCTGCGACACACAGACACACAGGTACCTGCGACACACAGACAGACAGGTACCTGCGACACACAGACAGACAGGTACCTGAGACACACAGACAGACAGGTACCCGAGACACACAGACAGACAGGTACCTGACACAGACAGAGACAGACAGGTACCTGCGACACACAGACAGACAGGTACCTGAGACACAGACAGACAGGTACCTGAGACACAAACAGAGACAGACAGGTACCTGAGACACACAGACAGACAGGTACCTGAGACACACAGACAGACAGGTACCTGGGACACAGACAGAAAGGTACCTGGGACACACAGACAGAAAGGTACCTGGGACACACAGACAGACAGGTACCTGAGACACACAGACAGAGACAGACAGGTACCTGAGACACACAGACAGACAGGTACCTGAGACACAGACAGGTACCTGAGACACAGAGAGAGACAGACAGGTACCTGAGACACAGAGACAGACAGGTACCTGAGACACAGAGACAGACAGGTACCTGAGACACAGACAGGTACCTGAGACACAGAGAGAGACAGACAGGTACCTGAGACACACAGACAGACAGGAACCTGAGACACAGAGAGAGACAGACAGGAACCTGAGACACAGAGAGACACAGACAGGTACCTGAGACACAGAGAGAGACAGACAGGTACCTGAGTCACACAGACAGACACACAGACAGACAGGTACCTGAGACACAGAGAGAGACAGACAGGTACCTGAGACACACAGACAGACACACAGACAGACAGGTACCTGAGACACAGAGAGAGACAGACAGGAACCTGAGACACAGAGAGAAACAGACAGGAACCTGAGACACAGAGAGAAACAGACAGGAACCTGAGTCACAGAGAGAAACAGACAGGTACCTGAGACACACACAGACAGGTACCTGAGACACAGAGAGAGACAGGTACCTGAGACACAAACAGACAGGTACCTGAGACACACAGACAGACAGGTACCCAAGACACAGAGAGAGACAGACAGGTACCTGAGACACAAAAAGAGACAGACAGGTACCTGAGACACAAAAAGAGACAGACAGGTACCTGAGACACAAAGACAGACAGGTACCCGAGACACAGAGAGACAGGTACCTGAGACACAGAGAGACAGGTACCTGAGACACAGAGAGAGACAGACAGGTACCTGAGACACAGAGAGAGACAGACAGCTACCTGAGACACACAGACAGACAGGTACCTGAGACACAGAGAGACAGACAGGTACCTGAGACACAAAGAGAGACAGACAGGTACTTGAGACACAGAGAGAGACAGACAGGTACCTGAGACACAGAGAGACAATTACCTGAGACACAAAGACAAAAACCTGTGTAACTGTGACACAGAGACAAAAACCTCTTAAAATGTGACTCAAACCTGAAGGTCTGGACGGATTTTAAAACACCCGTTTCATCACTGACTACATTTCCCAGCATACCTCAGGCACTGTGGCGATGATATCACCTCCCTCCTGATGAGCGCCAGCACACAGATCCCCGCCCACAGGACAACCGACAGGCCGGCCAGCCAAACAGAGGCCACGCCCCACCAGCCCGGCGGCCACGCTAGCAGCGAGATGAGGAGTCTGGTCAGGATGTCAATCACGTTGGTGACGACCAGCGAGGTTCTTCTCTGACCGGACGAGAACTGCTGGTAGACCTGCTCCAAGTCCGGAGACCTGAATAAGCGAAAGTAAGCAGAGGACGGGCTCGTGGAAGCAGACCCAGAACACCTGGTGGGTTTCTAACTCTCGCCTGCCCCTCACAACACTCACTTTATTGTGTGTTACAGTTTGAGTGTCTTTACTTGAATGTGTGTTGCAGTGCGGGAATGAAGACTCCTCGCACTGACGACCCCCACGACACAAAGAAGTCGGCGTCTCCGAGCGAGTCGTTTTTTGTCTGTGTTGCCGCGGTGATCCTCGGCGTCGACGGGTGGATACGAGCGGCTGACGAGCGCCGCTTCTGCCAGAGCGCTCCGCGAGACGCCTTAGAGCGGATCTGCCTGCAAGGCGACACAGAGGGAAAAAAGCTCACTCAAAAAAGTTGACTCATATTTCTTTTCAGATTTAAATTATCATAAATTGATAGCAAGCCAACTGTCTTTCTACCGGTTGATGACATCACTGTGTCTACCTGATGATGACGTCACTACCTGTTGATGTCGGCGATGTAGGCGTCTGTGACGGTGATGCGGTGTCTGCCTCTCTCCAGGCCTCCGGCGAGCCTGAGCGAGTACAGGTTGTGCTGGTCGATGATGTTTCTAACGGCGTTTTGCCACATCAGGTGTTTCCTCGTCAGGCTTGTGGCGGGGCTTATGTTCGTGCTGAAGGTGATGTCACTGGTGTGCCGCGCCATCTCGCAGTCGCCGTTCTCCATCACGCCACGGTTACCGTCCATGGTTATGAAGACCGCCTCGTCTGCAAACTGATTGGTAGCGGAAGGGAAGTGAAAATGAACAGATTTACGTAAACAAGACTTTACGTTATTTTAAAAAGCCACAGCTGTGTATTAAATGGATGAGATGACAGCGCCCCAGAAGTGAAGCCAAAACATCTGGATCGCCCCCTGCTGGCTGGCTGTAGTCATAAACCCCGCCCTCTCCATGTTAGCGGATGACCCAAACTGGTTTCTTTGTTCTTATCACATTCATGTTTGGTCAAGTGTTAACTTTTCCAGTAAGTTTGGTTTTAATTATTTACAGTTGCAAGAAAAAGTTTGTGAACCCTTTGGAATTACTTGGATTTCTGCATAAATTGGTTATAAATGTTTTTTCTTTCATGTTTTTCTTCAACACATCGTGCAACAATCACAGTGCAGGTTGGGAAAAGCCCTAGGCTAATGACTTCTCCTAAAGCTAATTGGAGTTAGCTAACCTGGAATCCAATCAATATGACGAGATTGGAGGTGTTGGTTAGAGCTGCCCTCTAAAAAACACGCACCAATTTTGATTTAGCTATCCTCATTAAGTATTTCCTGATGTGAACCATGCCTCGAACAAAAGAGCTCTCAGAAGACCTAAGATTGAGAATTGTTTACTTGCATGAAGCCGGATGTTCATCAGTCCACAGTAAGACAAATCATCTATAAATGGAGAAAGTTCAGCACTATTGTTGCTCTCCTTGCCAAGATGACTGCACAGTGCAGAATACTCAATGAGGTTAAGAAGAATCCTAGAGTGTCAGCGGAAGCCTTACAGAGATCTGTGGAACATGCTAACATCCCGGTGGACGACTTTACAATACGTAAAACACTAAACGAGAATGGAGTTCATGGATGGACACTGCTGTCCAAAAAAACACTGCTGCCTGTCTGAAGTTTGCAAAAGAGCGCCAGGATGTTCCATAGCACTACTAGCAAAATATTCTGTGGACAGATGAAACCAAAGTTGAGTTGTTTGGAAGGAACAAATAACCCTATGTGTGGAGGAAAAAGGCACAGCACACAAACATCAAAACCTCATCCCAACTGTGAGGTATGGTGGAGGGGGCATCATGGTTTGGAAGGGCTGCGATCATCCACGAAAAAAATTAATTCCAAAGTATATAAAGAAAGTTTACTTCAGCAGAAGAAAACACACCTTCTTTGAGTGTGTTCAGGACAATGTACAAACTTTTGTGTTTTAAAATGTAAAAATGTAAAAAGGTTTAAGACATTAAAAAAACAAAACATGTAAAAGTTTCTTTTGTGGATTTTTTACTGCAGTAATCCAGGTAATTCCAAAGGGTAAACATACTTTTATTTGCGACAGTATTTGTTGCTTAAAAAAGGAGGTTTCATATCATGATTGACAGCTAAGCCCTGCTCGCGATTGAGTCACCCGGGTGTATGGGCGGGACCTCGATACCGTGACTTTGGGTCATCAGAGCAATATGGCAGTGCTCGTATTCCGGATACTTTCCATCTTTATGCACAGTCTGTGGTCTGTGGACAGTTTGTTTTGATGACTAGTGGTTGGATAAAGTTCTTGTCGTGCTGTAAACATTTTATACGTTCAGTTGATCAGATCATCTGTCAAAATACTTAATGGCCTCTCAGTGGGACAGGTGGCCTGAACACATGGTGTTGGCCCGGGTCAGAGACAGGTTTCAGGGCTAATCCAATCAGGTTAGCGGCCTGCTGGCTGCTAATTGATACCTGAGAACAGCAGAACAGGAAGTATAATGACAAATAAACACCTTGTACCTCACTGTAGCTAGTGCCATTAATTGGTTGAAAACTGTCTCTAGCTAGCTTTTATGTTTTCAGTTTACTTGTTTTACATATGTATATATTTATATGATATCATGCTAACAGACTGAAGCTAAAACCAACAGTCATGACATCCTGCTAACAAGTCATGACATCATGCTAACAGACTGAGGCTAAAGCCAACAGTCATGACATCATGCTAACAGATCATATCGTCATGCTAACAGGTCATGATGTCATGCAAACAGGTCATGATGTTATTCTAACAGACTGAAGCTAAAATGCTCACAGATTGAGGTTAAAGCTAACAAGTCATGACATCATGCTAACAGACTGAGGCTAAAGCCAACAGTCATGACGTCATGCTAACAGGTCATGACGTCATGCTAACAGACTGAGGCTAAAGCCAACTGTCATGACATCATTCTAACAGACTGAAGCTAAAGTTAACAGGTCACAACATCATGCTAACAGACTGAGGCTAAAGCCAGGTGTCATGACATAATGCTAACAGACCGAGGCTAAATCCAACTGTCATGACATCATGTTAACAGACTGAGGCTAAAGCCAACAAGTCATGACATGATGCTAACAGGTCATGACATCATGCTAACAGACAGAGGCTAAAGCCAACAGTCATAACATCATGCTAACAGGTCATGACATGATGCTAACAGACTGAAGCTACAGCTAACAGGTCATGAGATAGCAGGTTATGACATCATGCTAACAGACTGAAGCTAAAGCCAACAAGTCATGACATCATGCTAACAGGTCATGACATTATGCTAACAGACTGAAGCTAAAGCCAACAGGTCATGACATCATGCTAACAGACTGAAGCTAAAGCCAACAGGTCATGACATCATGCTAACAGGTCATGACATCATGCTAACAGACTGAAGCTAAAGCCAACAGGTTATGACATGATGCTAACAGGTCATGACATCATGCTAACAGACTGAAGCTAAAGCCAACAGGTCATGACTTGATGCTAACAGGTCATGACATCATGCTAACAGACTGAAGCTAAAGCCAACAGGTCATGATATCATGCAAACAGAGACTGAGGCTTAAGTGACAGAATAATACACTTAGCTAATGGCATGCTAACTCTGCAACTAACAGGATTACTTACTGTAGACCGTAAGCCAATCAGCTGGACATGAAAACATTAGCATCTTTTCTCTTGTGTCTTGGTTTTTGACACCTCCCTCCAAACTGTGCAGATGTTTCTGATTTTACACTTTACATGTTCTTTGGTAAATATTTGTGTCTGGTTTAGATATGTGTGTGTTTTGAACCTACTTGCTGCAGAGTTTATTGTCCAGATGAAGAAGAGTGTAACACCAGCCTCATGCCTCGCTCACTCCTCCTTTCTTTGTTTCTTCTCTCCTCATGGACTATTTCTCCTTCTGTTAATATTCTTTTGGTTTCTCTTGTCTTTCCTTAGTATTTGTCCTTCAGTCCATTTCTTCTCTTACTTGGATGCTTTGTTCACACGTCCATTTTGTCTTCAGGCTTTTCATCTTTTATTTCTTGTTTCAATTTAAAATTCTTTTGCTTTCACACAGCTGAAAATGAATTTGTCTTTACAGTGAAAACTTAAAAATGGATCCTTTAAGTTAGCAAAATTATTGACAGTCAATGACCACTTTCAGTTGTTTTATGGTCATCATATATTTATATTCGAAATAAAAGTTTATACTGAAATAAGAACAGATTCCAGTATTCATCTTATAGAAGTTGTGTTTTTTGTCTTTTTCTTGGCACATTGAGGAAAACTGCAAAAATAGCAAAGATTAGAACAATGAGGAAACCATGAATCTTCACATGTTGAATTTACCTCCAGGCAACAGAATCAACCCAAAGAAGAGGCCAAAGGAAGTCGAACATCACAGCGGCTGGTTTCAGCTCGTCAATGCAGTTTTTCCAAATACAAAAATATCTGAAAATAAGAAGAAAAAGACGGCAAACAAACGAGAAACAGCTGACATATACAACAGACAGTATTAGATGGAGGCGTGCGTTACTCCCATCAGGAATCCCTGAAACAAACGGCGGCTCACTAATAGGACAGATTAAGTGTGCGCATGTTCAGGTGCATGATGGGATTGGCAGAACTCCAACCAGGTCACACAGTGTGTGCCTGTCAGTAGTTTAAAGTTACGTGTTTATCATCCAAACACACAAGGAAAAATCTCTGAACTGAAGAAAAACTGGTTATTTTTAAAACTCACAGACCTGCTTCTTCAACTCACGATGTCAAACTACTTACATAAGTACAAGTATTAATGACAAGAAGAAACAAAAGAATCACTCAAAAGGGTCAGATAAAGAACACAAAACTGTATTAAACAAAAGATGAGCGGTAAAAAACAACCAACAATCAATGATATCCTACATATTTCAGGGTGTTCAAGGAATTGCAGGGTTCAAACATACAAAACGTCCTCGCTTTCTAAAAAAAAATGTCCTACATCAAATATCTTCACTTTAAGGCCTAAACTCAAACTGGTCCACATAAAGACGTACATATGAGAGCTCACACACACACACGGACAGGCAGGAATGATATTTGTCTTTTTATTATTTAAAAAGTAAAACGTGCACACTTACAAGAACCACAGTGAGATTGTAACAAGCATTCTCACAAACAATCACACACTCACTTCACACTCCAGAGGTCAACAGAAAATAATTTACTTAAAGTGCGTTGACGTGACAAACTACGACTGTGTCCTCACTAACGGGGGTAAAATTTGAAATGTTCTCCCTTTTCAGAAACTTCCTTTTCGTCTTGTGACTTTAAGGAGGGTCTGACGAGTAAGGAAACACATCATCAACACATCAGATGATTAAAGTGTGAGACACGTTTTCAGCTCCAAGTGTGACGGAAGTCCCAGTGACAAGGTACAGAGGTCAAACTGTGACAAAATAATGTGTTACTAACGTTAAAACAGTCATACATTCCTCAAACACACAGTCTCTTTATCTGTCTTTGTGTTAAATGTCTTCAAAACAGTCTTTAAACTCTTCCTCGTACAAAATAAAGTATGTAGTTATAATACAGAACAAGTTGTTATGTAAACAGACAAAAGTAATTTAAATAACGTGTTTGATACATGTGACTGGCGGACGCTTCATATCAAAAACACTGCTTGTTCCACTTGTCAATTTATTGTGATTTTTAGCTTTTGTATTTAATTTTTTATATTTAAAAATTAATTTTGGGTATTTTTATTTATTGTTTTTCATAAATTCATGGTCAATATATTTTTCGCAGCATTTAAAATTACCTTTTGCAAGTTAAAGTTAATTTATGTTCAACAACAATTGATTAAAATAAATTGTTGTGTACAATTTTTTCTTATGGTTTAAATGTCAACCATTTTAGATTTTCCAAATTAACTGCTTTTATTAATCATTTATTGAATTTTTTTATTTTTTAAATGTAAATGTGTATTTTCTTCATATTAATTTAAAATGTAAAATTCAAAATTATATATGTGAAATTCTAGTCTTACACAACAATTTCTTTTTGTTGCTTTTATTGGTTTCCATTTCATATTTTGACTTTATTTGATTATTTTAAACTAAACTAAATTAAATCTGCATGTTTTTTTAGTTTAGAATTAATAAATCATCCGAATATTAATTTAATGATGTGTAAATATCAAGATGAAGCAACAAGGATAATGTGAAATGTGGAAAAAAACTAGCACAACACTGCCAGGTTTGAGTATGTATTGATTATTTGAACAATGCAGAGCGTAACTTTAAATTAATCAATACAAAATTCTAAAAATACTCACTCAAATTTTACATTTAAAACTTTAAATCACATTATAGCGACAAATGGAAGCTCAGCCTTTTTGAGTACACGAATGTAAAAATATAAAACTATGATAATATGATAACTATTATGTTCGTGCTGTCTTTCAGCTCTTTACAGTATGAAACCCTACAGTTCTATTGTTGTCGTACACAGACAGACACGGTAAACAGTCGTTAAACGGACTCGTGTCTTTCTTTGAGTTCAGCATCCCTTCATCATGTAAACGTTGTTCAGGTGAAAGAACTGAAACCATCACGGAAGACAAAACGCTGTTTAACAAAAGGTGGAGGGACAAAAGTGCACAAACAGGGCTGCCAACTGTATCACGATTGTTTCCCGATAACCGTGCCAGAAAATATTGCGGTTTCACAGTATTATTAAGTTATTGTTATTTTGAGTTGCAATTACCCTTTTGTGGTTGAACGAATGCTTTATTATAATTTCACAAAATATTGTGTTCTGACAAAACATTTTTTTTTTTTTTTTTTTTTAAATGGAAATATGTGTAAAAAGTCTCTCTTTTGAAATTAAATAAAAAGATCTGTATGGGCAGGTGAGATTCTCCGTCTGTAGATTAGCTAATGTACATGGTATGATAATCGTCAGTGAAACCACTGCAACCCTATTGGAGGGCAGTTTTAGGGAACATAATACAAATTTTTGAGAGAAAGAACATTTGATGGCACAAATTATCAATTTGAGGGAAAAAATTAAATGTTTAATGGAATAAATTGAGAGTTTGAGAGCTCAAACAAGTTAATTAAGGAAAAAGAAAACCAGTAACGTAAGAGTTAGTGACTTCAGGTCGATTTACAATCAGAAATAGGAATTTGAGGGAACAAATTAAAAAGGTAGTGGATCGTGGAGTTTTAGGGCTTAAATTTGTCACTTGACCAAACAAATAATGAATTTCAGAGAACCAATTACAGCAGATTGCCTCTTGGTTTTAGTTTAGTTATGCATTTCTGATGCTGTAGCTGCATCGACCAACCATCACCCAGGGGCTGGTGATCAGCTGAGTTGGCAGGTTTGGCCATGTGGTAAGTATAAAAGTAAGATTATTCTTAATATTACGCATGCATTTAGATTACATCACACTTTTAACTTGTGTTGATTTGGCAACAAGGCTTTGAAAATGGAGATTAGTAATTAGATTTAGAAATTACATTAAATACTTTAAAGTGTTTATAGATTCATTCAGAATTAAAGTCACATTTAATGAAATACAACGACTTTTATCACACTAGTTTGTAACGTTACTGACTGGATTTAAGAATGGAGGTTTGTTCAGCTCGTTGTTCATTTTTATTAACGTGATATACTTGTTCAGCGCTGACCTTTGACCTGATGCTCTGCTGCAGTACGAATTAATGACGTTAACTCGTCCATAACTCGCACACAAACACACTTTTAACTGAAAACCACACATCAACGTACAGAAAACGACGAGGGCCATGTGAATTGGAGTTTTTCCCCCTTATACTTTGATTATAATTTTGACTTTAATCTAAAAAGTCTGACTTTAATTTCCTAACTATACTGTCACAATTACAACTTCTTTTGGCTTTTGACAATTTGATCATCATTTCTTCCTATTATTGATTTTATGTTCTCTGAATTCTATTAATTCTTATCTTTATCTCACAATGTGAGTTTAATTTTGACTTCAAACCAAAAGTTCTGACTTTGATCAAAACTTGTCCTAAGAATAAATTTGAACATTTTTCCTCAGAATTTTTTGAATTTAAACATAAAAGATCTGATTTGAATAAATAAATCTAAGTTTAGCCTTAGATTTACAACTTCTTTTAAAATTTAAACATTTGTTCCTCACAATAATCATAACAAATGTTAAAATTCTGACTTTAATCTCAGAACAAAATTTTTCCTCCGTGTGGCCCTAATCACCTTCCATACTTTCTCTCACATTAACACACACACACACACACACACACACACACACACACACACAGCGGTTTATAGATAAAACGTAGTAAATAAGTTAAAACTGGTCATGAACCAGGCGTTGGGTTGGCATACAGCACTGTGGCGAGCAACATGGCACACAAGACCTTTACGTTAAATAAATATTCCAATAAATAAACACTGTTCATGTGATTCTTCAGTCCGTGTCTGAGTGAGGTCCAAACTCTCTGCGAGCTTTCAGGAGTGTGTGTTTGTGTTATTTAATGTTCTTCAGCAGTGAAGTGCGGGCGTTCACCACGGCCTTAAAGGCGTCTTCGCTGCCGGGTGCAACGCATTTGTCCGGGTGCAGCAGGACTGCCAACTTCCTGTACGCCTTGTTCACCTCCTCCCTGGAAATGAGCAGGCAGGAAACAACATTAGACGAGTCAACAGCTTTTAAAACATTACTGATAATTAAAGTCAATAACAACACCCAGCCCGACCTTTGACCTCGGGGCCGTTCACTCACCGCGTGGCACCAGGTTTGACGCCCAGCATATCCCAGGAGTCCTTGCTGTTTCGGATGCGTCGGATGGTGTCCGCCTGCTCTTTGGTGAAGCCGACGCTGACCTCAGACACCGGGCGCTTCCCGCCGTTCTCACACATGTCGGTGATGGACGAGAAGAACGCCTGAGAGACGACACGAACACACGGTACTGAAAACGTTCTCCAAGTCTTCTTAAAGACTGAAGTTTGCCGTTTGTGTACCTGAAACATCTCGTTGATGCCCTCTCCGCTCTGCGCCGACGTTTCGAAGTAATGAAAACCTCTGGACTCAGCCCACAGACGCCCCTCCCCCTCGTCCACCACCCGCCGCTTTGTCAGGTCCACCTGCACAGACGGACATTTTAAGGCCGTTTTCAAACCTGCGTCCACTGATGAAGTGGTCTTGGTCGGGTCCCAAACTAATTCTGGAGCAGCTGCTGTAGCCTGCAGCTAGCCGGAGAAAGACTGTATGTCTAATCTGGACTAGCTTCTTGATAGTTCTTCTTCTATTCTCTCACCCACCTCGCAGACACACACTCCCACCTATTTATCTATTTATCTGTCTATCTGTCTGTCTGTCTGACTGTCTGTCTGTCTATCAGGGCTGGGCAATATGGCCAAAAAGTCATATCCCAGTACTGTTTCGGTATAAAATATATATCAGTATTTTCTGCTAAGCGGGCTCGGGGGTTTCAGCCGGCATGTTTTAAAAACTTTTCAACATTAGAATGTAGAATGTAACTGGACTTTTCCTCTCGTGATTCCGTTCACAGCAGCAGCTGAGCTGCATGTTGAGGAGGCGTTTTGACGTCGTAGCCTATCAAAACAAAACCAACGTGGTAGCTAACGAATAACATCTGACTGGTGTGTTCACTGTCGCTTTACCTGGTCGCTCTTCTAAAATATATATATATATATATATATATATATATATATAAATATAAATAGTGTTGCGACTTGTAACGTGGTCACTGTGTTTCTCTGATAAATGCTACAGCGTGTGGTCTAACCTGAGCGGCCGACACGCTCTGTCGGCTCTCGTTCTAATCAGTGTGGTCCTTCTTACTTCTAATAAACCAAACAATGGCTGTTACTACTTCTTCTTCTTCATTTTACGTATTCAACGTAGCGACATAACGCGCTCTGTAGCGCTGTTTGTCCGTGTAGAAACATGGCGATACACTTGTGTTGAAAAGTGGGGGGGACATCGGGGCTCAGATTACGGCTGTGACGAGACACTTTGTTCGCGAGATACGTGATATTAGGTCCACGAGACGAGAAAGATCCTAAAACAGTGTTTTAAAGATGTCCTCAATGCTGAGACATACGAGCGGGGGGGTCTGGGAAATTTTGATCTTTAAACACTTCATTTCCTGCATTCTGGTGAAAGTTTCTGCACCAATTTATGGTGGAAATATTTTTATTTATGTAAAAGGAAACACAGGATTCAAGATGACATGTTAAAATATATAAATATAACAGAATCTAAGTCAGTGCTGCTCTCAGATCTGTTTGTCCTGTAACATCGTCCCTGCTGAGGCCTGATTCAGTCTTCACTCCTCTCTTGTCATGTTCACAGAAAAGTCTCATTCTAAGCTAATAAAAACGGTTCATTACGTCAGGTCTTTACACACCACTGAAAACATAGTTATGGATCTTTTTTTGCATTTCTGTCAACAGATCCTCAGAAAATGACACACTGGACCTTTAAAACATGTGTTCTGTAACCGGTGATTAGCCTGAGAGCACGACGCTAAACAGCGTCCAGAGGTTTTACTGCGAGGCTGAAGCAGATGATAATATATGAATATCCCCAAAGTCTGAGACACGTCTAACCGGTGAGAGCAGAGAACGTCGTGGCCTTCGCTAATGTTTATTATTTAGCTTTGAAACCTCTCAGGCTGACATCAGACCCGATCCCGGTGATGTCATCATGTGATCGCCTGCAGCGCCACATACTGCTCGAGCTTCACAGTAACATAAGCACTTTCACCTGACCTCCGACCTGCCGACCGCCTCAGAGCTAGTTGTTGTTGTTGTGTATCGGTCTGACCTTGTTGGCGCAGACGATGAACACAATGCTGTCCATGTTGGCCTGAGAGCCCATTTCCTGTTTCATCTCGCCGAGCCAGCTGTCGAGGGCGTCGAAACTCTCCCTGAGGCCGACGTCATAAACCAGCAGCACCCCCTGACTGTCCTTATAGAACTCATTACGCACCTGAGGGACAGAAACAACAGCAAGAAGAAGAAGAAGGATGATGAGGAGGAGGAGGAGGAGGAGACCATCGCCGTTCCTGGTTCAACAGCTCCACCTGCTGGCACGTTTCCCACATTACGACTCATTAAACTCAATCAAACAAGTTCAAGTATTTTAAAAGTATAAATAAGAAAATAAAGTTTTTGTGACTCACTTCGTAGAAGAAAGGATGACCGGCCATGTCGAAGATGTTCACTTTGATTTCTCTATCGCGAACCTGCACTCTGACGACACAAGCGTTACTCGTATTACTGCATACTCCACTGCAGTAAAAGTACTAATACCACTCTGTGAAAATACTCCACTGCGAGTAAAGGTCCTGCATTCAAACCTTCCTTCAGGAAAGTATGTGAGTATTATCAGCAACATGTACTTACAGTATGACAGTAAAACTACTCATAAATGTTTAAGCTCATTTTAACTCCTTTACATCCTGTTGGGTAGTTTAATCTGCAGCAATGCATCATGGTCTGTAAGATCATCATGTGTTTGTACTACTTGAGAAATTATGGGAAGTTATTTTGGAGAAAATGTGTTGTACATATTGTATATCATAGCCTAAGAAACAGAAGACATTTCGCCCAGTTACATGCAGAGCACATAAAACATAAGTATGCAGCGTATAAACTTACTTGGTGACGCCATAGTCGATGCCAATAGTGGCCAAATACTTGGGAACAAACCTCTTCTCACAGTAGCGTTTGATAATGCAGCTCTGAAAAGGATAATATATTTATAATGAGGTGCTACATCTTTCATGCCAGACTCCCTTCAGAAATCGAGCAATTTAAAGGTGGATTGATGAATTATTTAACTGTACCCTTCAGCTTAACCCGTAAGATGTATGAAAACTTAGGGCGCCTTGTTAATCAAGTTCCACCTCAATGTGTAAAAGCAGAATTCATTATTATATTAGAAATACTAGATTCTTCAGGCAAAGTCGGTAAACAAACAAAGTATGAAAGCTACATTGCTTTAATGCATCATCACAAATGACTTAAACCATCATTGGACAGTTTTATAACCAGTACATATTATATATATATAATTATACACCAAGCAGACATTATTTCATTAGAATATCTTAATTTATATGTGGTGCACTTGTTTCGACGCCTTTCCTGCTCAATAGAGATCACAGGACAAACTGTTAATAATAAAACTAATTATTTAATATTAACACGTAAAATTCACGCCGAGTTTTAGAAAACATAGCCGTACTTTAAAAATTATCTTAACTGATGTTACACCGTTTATTAATTAATAGCAATAAGCAGGAAAGTGGTAAAGTAACAGATTTTTATAGGGAGTCTGGTGTTTGGATAAACAAGATAAATCAGACTGAACAGCATCATAATCCCGATACCAAGAACACAGGAAACGTTAATTATTTACGCTAACACCAGCTTTTAAAACTGTTTTAAATAAATATTTCGTCAGCTAGCTGTACAAACAAGTTGCTTTTAAAGGTTTATCGCTGCTGGGATCAGCTGAACTCCAATGCGCCTGAATTCAGCCTGGGTTTGGTCTAAAATAAACTGTGGTCACTCACCTTTCCGACCTCGGCATTTCCGAGGCTGATCACTTTCACACGCAGTGATTTCTTATTGTCTCTTCGCTTCGGCGCGTTTGTTTCCATCTGGATTTATTTTAAAAGGACGTTTCTGCGGTGAAACTGCTGACAGCTAGCTGCTACTGTTGTTGTTGTTGTTGTTGCTGTTGTTGGGAGCGATGCTAACACCTAGCCGTTAGCTGGCTAATAATTAGCACGGCCCTTAAACTGAACTATTAGCGGATTAATGAATCACTCTGCATTGTTTTACTTTAGCATTAGTGCTAATATTTAGGTTGAGCTGCCATCGCAACACACAGCAGAGACACAACTCGCCTGCTAACCTCATAGCCTAAAAATGCTAACCAGAGATTTTTGGCGTCAAGTTAGCCGCTACACAGCTAAAATACGACTTCCGCTAATGCTTTTCAAAATAAAACGAATGATCTTATGCACACAATAAAACTGTCTCTTAAAAGACCTTTAATCTACTTAATTTAACCCTGAAAAAGGTAAAAGTTTATCTCCTTAATTTCAAAATCCAATAATTTACAAATTAAATAAATTCTAACGGCTACATGACTTTCAATTTATTGATGGATTAATTGTAAAGATTTGACAAATGTAGTAAATATTTAAGGTATAAAAATGGAGATATTTTAAAAGGTAGAATGTGTAAGATTTGGCCAGAAGATATAAAACTAACTACAGAATGTAAAGAACCAACATCACCAGCTCTGGTGTTGGAGGAAATGATGCGGTCAGAACAACCTGGAGCTTAACACGCTCAAAACTGTGGAGATGACTGTGGACTTGAGGATGAGCCCCCCCACTCTGCCCCCCATCACCATACTCAACAGCCCTGTGTCTGCTGTGGAATCCTTCAGGTTTCTGGGATCCACTATTTCCCAGGACCTGAAGTGGGAGCCCAACACTGACACCATCATCAAGAAGGCCCAGCAGAGGATGTACTTCCTGCGTCAGCTCAGGAAGCTCAACCTGCCTGAGGAGCTGCTGATCCAGTTCTACACAGCCGTCATCCAGTCTGTCCTCTGCACCTCCATCACTGTCTGGTTTGGATCTGCCACCAAAAAGGACAGGAGCAGACTACAACGGACAGTCAGGACTGCAGAAAAGACCATCGGTGCCAACCTGCCCTCCATTCAGGACTTATACATTTCCAGAGTCAGGAAACGGGCAGGAAACATCACTGCAGATCCATCTCACCCCGGACACAACCTGTTCCAGCTCCTCCCCTCCGGTAGGCGCTACAGAGCACTGTACGCCAAAACCAACAGACTCAGGAACAGTTTCTTCCCACAAACCATCACTCTGATGAACAGCTGACCCTGACTCACAGTGTCAGGAACTATTTCTGTGCAATAACCCAGTCACTCTAATCAGCACCTGTTTACTGGCAAACACTTATTATTTATTTATTCATTATTCTCTATTTCAGTGCTGTTCATACTGTTATATTCTCATATTTTATACACTGTATACCAAATCCACCAACCTCGTCATTACTCCTGCACAAAGTACTTATTTATTCCTGCATCCTTTGCACTCTGCTCACTGCACTATTTGTCAATATATCTATATTGATTTTGTGCAGCAAACCTTTAGTTCAAGTTTCAAAGGCGTTTTTCTGTTCTTGTCCACCAGGTGGTAGAAGCTGCATTTGTAAAATGTCTTACTTCAGATGCTTTAATTTGGATTTATTAAGACATTAATATACATTGTCATATCAGAAACAAATGACCATGACCATAAGAGCAAAATATTCGTGACAACAAATGATCAGATTCATTACAGCACAAATTCTCAGGAATATACTTTCATAATAACCATCTACCATGTAAAAGGGGAAAAAAAGGACAAAAGCAATGCCATCAAAACAAAGCAATTAACAGCAATAAGAACATTAAAAAACAGTACTTTTTAAAGGAGAAAATGGAAATTAAAAGCTTGAATAGACTGGACGGTTCTTATTGTCTAATGTACGGAGGCCCAAAGAGTCCACTTTTAAATAAATGAACACGATGAAACTACTCTGAATAAATACAGATAAAATATATAATTTAACCTTGACATTGTGAAATAATCCAATACATTTTAAAACTGATTGTTTTTGATTGATTGAATGTCTTTCATGTAGCTCATTTTTATTTTATAAATTCAAATCGCGTCAGTGACGTGATTGGTAGTCCACTAAAGCTAATCACACAACTGCTCTTTTAATTTTGATTTACAGATAAACATTGCGATGAAAAATGATTTAAAAAAATTATTAATTGGAGAAAAGGACGTTTTGAGATGAAAACAGCTGGAATTAATTAAAAATTAGCTGCAGTGATATTATTTCATTTTGAAAAGAAGCAGGATTAAGAATTTAAGAATAAGATAAGAAAATTTGTGAATTTATTCATATTATTGTTTATTTAATGATGCCTTTCTTATTTTAATATTCAACTCTTTAAGGCTCCACACTGATGCAGCTTTAAGTCTCTCCAGATTTGGCTAAAGCTCAATTAGAAACTGAAGACAAATGCAAATAAACAGCTGCTTTATCTGTAGACTGAGTTGCCTCGGTGTCTTTCTAGTTGACGTCTTGCTATTTACAACACAAAAGTGAAAATATCTCTTTAAATGTCAAAGTTTGTTACTTTGAGCTGAGCTTTTTAAGCATTTTGGGTCCATTTTAATTTGGAAAATCTTGTTTTTACGTGTTTGACAGGCAAAATAACGAATACTGAGTTTGTGTATTCATACCAGGACCAAAAGATAATATAAACATACTCCTATTTGTTACTTACTAATAAAACCTCTTATTTGGCTTTTAACATGCATGAGATCAAGGAATGAACAGAAAATAAATGAATTGTTCAAATAATTCAGTATATAATTAAAATATATTCAGAAGTAGCCTCTTCATGACGCATTCACGTCATAAATCATGTTCTCAATCCTACAGGAAACAACATCAGCTGCTGTCAGTAACTGGACCTGGTATTAGTTGGTGCCCGTTTATCCTACTCTGTACGGGAGAAATAAATGCCACACTGAGTACAAGTGAAGTAAGTTCTGTCATAAAAACATGAACACTTTAACCTGAGTTCATGACTCGGCTTTTAAATATGGCGGCCGATTAACAAGCGTGTCCCACGAAGCCGACACACGTGCAACTTCGGACATCGTGGTCATTCGTGAGTTTTGGCGTGCTGGAACGAGGCTTCGATTGAACTATCTTCCCTTCCTGAAGCTATGAACTCACCATCACATCCAACTTTTTAAGACTGTCACCATTTATTTAACCAATTCTTTTGTTTCCTTTATTGAATCTTGGGGCAACTTTTAACTGCATTTGTGCCAATAACTTGTTTTGTTTATGTAATTTTATCAATTTGAATGGATTGAATGTACCTTTTTATGCATTACTTCACCTCGTGTAAAGTGATGGATCAATGCGGTCAGATATTCACAAAGAAAAAAACAAACCGTTCAGATAGAGTTATGATGTCGTGTTCTGACTAAATAAAAGACCTTCCACCTGAGAAATAAAGAAACGAAATGAGAAATAAAGAAACGAAATGACAAATCTACTAACGAATAAAAGATGGACGTCATTAAAAAAAAGACCATCAGCCAAAGTAATTTGTCCAAAATATAAGTTTGTGTGTTTTTCTGCTGAGGCTGACAGGAAGTGAAATGGTGGAGGTGAAAAGTTTTCTGGGTCGCGACGGCTGGACGGCGTTAGCGAGGAGGAAGCGGCTTCATCTGCAGGTCGTCGTAGGTATCTTTAGTAGCCGTGCTCAGATCCTGAAGAGATAGAGAAAAGTTTGTTCATTCGAGGAAATACGCCAGATGGAAAGTGTGTCTTGATGGTTTAACTGATAAAACATTTTTCTTTCCACTCACCTGGTAAACCTGCTCGTTCTTTCTGTGACGCTGAAGAAACAAACAACAAATATGTCAACAGCAAATCTCTGACATTAAATCATTCAATAAATGATAGAAAACTCTAATTAAATAAGATTCAATTTAATAATTAGAGCTTGTAAAAGTGTTGGTAAAAGTATTCAAAATAGTTCTGCTCACCTCTCTTTTAACAGGAAGCTCCTTATATTCTCCATCAGTGTTACGTTTGTTCAAGCCCTGAATATATAAAAACTCACATGTTACAATCCAGTACATTTTTATTTACGTAGCACATTTAAAAACCAGGGTTACAAACTGCTGCACAGGGAGTATAAAACATCTAAAAACAATATATAATATTATTAACAGGACATTATCTATGAAATCTTAATTAACAATCATTTTATACGTTGATAAAACGACTAACTTCTGTTTTAAAACAAACAAAACAAGAGTGTGAGAGTTTGTTACCGTGTAGGTGTCATCCCTGCGGTTCTATGACACATAAAGAAACAGAACAGGTAGATTGTTGAACATATTCGGTTCTGTTGAATAAAGTGTTTCTTGTTTTTTTTACTAGTAATGTTTCAGGGTTCTTTCATGATAAACAGGGTTCTTTCAGTGTCTTTCCCAGTTTTAGCTTCAGGATTTTCACTGTTCTTTTGTGGGTCTTTTTAGGTTCTTGGTTCTTTCTGCATCATCAGTTTGTTGTTGAGTTGTGGGGTTCCCCATGTTCTTAAGCATTATATAAAAGTTCTTGTGGTTCTTTTTTGGACTGTGTGTGGTTCTCTAAGGATTTGTTAGAAACATTTCTTAAGAGTTATTTCATAATGTCATGGTTCTTCAAGGTTCTTTCAAGTTTCCTGAATGAATCTCGATGAACCATGAAAAACACAAAGAACCTTGAGAGAACTGTGAAAGAACCCTAAAGTTACACAATAATAGTGGCTGCTGCAAGATAGTGATCCATGTCATAAAACAGCGTCCTGTTCTCTAGAAGCAACACCGTAAACGTTCTCCATGGAGAACCACACACTGCTACGGGGAACTTTCTGAAATACAGTCCAAGCAGAACAGCAGATATTATATATCGGTGAGACTCACTCTTCCTCTCTCGGGGTCTCCTCTGTGGTTCAGCGGGGCGTAACCTGCAGTGTCCTGACCAACCAGATCCTGAACACAACACAAATGCCATCAAACAGCAACATCAAGATGAAGGTTTATCTTCTTTATACTCGAGATTTTGCTCCTGTGTGTGTCTGTTAATGCACATTTTTATCTCTCTGAAAAGCTGAAACAGGAAACGGACAGTTTCTCGTTCCACATTATAAAATAAATATACTTCAGCAGAAGCAGCTGTTCATAAGTTCAAACACGTCCTCTATGCAGAACGATATTAAAACAGGTTTTACTTAAAGATGAGTTGTTACTAAATATACAGCCACTAACTTCCAGGTGTAACTGATAAACGTTAGCGTGCTAATGTCTGA